ATGGTTCATAAGATACTGAATAAACCAAATTTGTATCATAGACTTCAACTTCAACAATAAACAAAGTCAAGCGTTTGGCATGATGATTTTTTCAACTCATACTTCCTGTTCACGTAGTTGGGCTGTTTGGCACAAAATATCAAATGAACCAGAGTCCTTAAGAGAAACAAAAAACAAAAAAACATTTGAAACATGGTGACATTTTATTTTAAATGATTTTTATTGAAACAAAAAAATGAATACACATAACTCACCTGTGATATAATAGATTTGATGACTCTTATTCTGATTTTCATCGTTCTACATTTCACTTCATGGCCAAGACTTCTTATTCTCACTCGACATCAGACATCTGAGCTACATCTAAAACAGAATACTATGTGAGAGCTCAAAGTGTGTTGCCAAAACCAAACAAAAAAAACAGGCTTTGATGTAACTCTGGCCGGAATAAAGAATGAAACGACTTGAAAAACCACTAAAATGTTATTCAGCAAATGTATAATTCTTTACCATGAGATATGATTGCATTGTGAATGTACATCTCTGATGGGTTTATAGCTTCATTGAGAGCGACAATTAATACATTGAATCTATCTTACCATCATTAATCGTCTCAGTTGGAGCAGTCCTTATAGTTTTAAAAATTTGTCATCCAGCTTTCCTACAAAGATACACAAACATTGTTGAGAAAACTCTGGATGTATCTTAGACAAGAAAATGAAATCGCATCTTATATTGCAGTACTTACCTACATTATTATGATTGGTGATGATCGGGATTCCTTAACGTTTTGATTCGCTTGCTTATAGTTAAATATACTTTGATCAAAAGTGAGATGGGACACAGTTCATATGGAATCACTCTGTTTTTGACAAGTACCTCACTCACTATGGTAAGATTTGGAGAGAAACCATCCGACATAAAGTAGCCTGGAACCACACTAGATGTTTAATGGACATACTGATCAGACTAACATCTAATTAAGATTATAATACTTACTTGGATTGGTTTTATGTAATCTCACTGGATTTCAGCATACATTCAATAGGGAACTTGCAGGGCCCTGGAAGGTAGCCACAAATTTTAGGTTTCACAAAGCTACAATACTGATAATGTTACCAGTAAAGAGTGAGAGCTAGCTTCACTTTCACACTGAATGTAACTAGTAAATGGTCAAATAAATCTGGAAAGAGATTAAATAAATTAGAGGCAATTCAAAAAATGGTTTAATGAAGCAAAAAGAATACCAAAATTTTAAACCTCACATGTATACTTATAAGAAAATAAAAACCGTAGCTAATATTGCGCTACTTACATTGATGTGATTGATGATGATCGGGATTGTAGGGCTTCAACGTTTCCATTTGCTTGCTTTCAGGTAAATAAACTTCAATCAGAAGTGGTACTGCACACAGTTCATTGAGAATAACTCTGTCTTCGACAAGTACCTCACTCACTGGACAGACTTAGACCATCCAAAGTCCCATACATAAAGTAGCCGCCTAGAACCACGATAAATCTATATTAGACACACTGATCATGATCAGACTTAGATAAAACTAAGATTATGATACTTACTTAAATATCTTTGATGTATTGTAACTAGATGCCACCATACATTCAATAGGGTACTTAATTGACTCTGGAAGGCAGTCACGAATTGGGGTAATGTCAGTTTCAGATAACCACTATAGTGATGAGGTTATCTGTAAACAGTAAGAGTTTACTTTAACATTGAGAATAATACAAATTAATTAATCGAGGGAGCGAGAGCATTTATAATGACAAAGCAAACTTCCAAAACAATGGAGAAAAAAAAAACCTTTGTGCTAAAATTACCAAAAGTGAGGTTACAATGTTCAGAATGATTCAAACTTGAGCAATTGCTGACTGTGAAAGTACAAGTGAAGTTGCGCATACAAATCAAAATAAGACATTGGCCTTTGGAAAGTAAATCACAAAGATTGAGAGAAAAGACGCACTTAAATATGTGCAAAACTTGAAATGAGCCTGATAGTACGAACTATAGGTTACCATTACTTTGAAAAGTTAACATATTTAATGTGCAATTTGGCGCTGAGAATCACACCAGTGCCTCAGAAATAGACTTGAACAGAAGTTAGGGTGGAAATAGCACGATCCAAAAACTGGGCGTAAAACAGAAAAGCGTATGTCTACAAATGCACAAAAATCCACATTCGATACCTGTTGACCGTTGCCAGAGCACTCATCTAATCCACATAAAATTTCGCTGCAAGGCATGATGATGTGTTTTTTGCATCCAATCCAAAGTTGTAAAAATTAAGCAGCAAATTAGAATACTAAGGCTTGACGTGTACGCTCAGCCTAACTAACTGGGCCAAGCAAGCCTGTAAGGGTCCCCGGTGCGGGCAAGGGGGAAGGGGCGCGGGAAGGGAGACGAGGGAAAGGAGGAGGGGGAGCAGGAAGGAGCAAGGAGCAGAGCGGGTAGATCTAGCGGCAGACAAAGACGCGACTGTGGCGCGCTCCCGGCGAGCGATCGCGGAACTCGAAACACTCAGGCATTCCCTTGAACAAGAACGTTCATGTCATACCTCGCAAAAGCAAGGAAACGGCAACCTAAATTTAACCATCCTTACACACCGCTTTCGTGCTGCGGGATGACCACCACCCTCAAACCCCTCACCCCCTACTGCACTCCCATAAAACCAAATGGATCTCGAAGATCCGCTGCTCGTCAGGAGTCAATTTCAAAATATAATACAAAATGTTCAAAATAATTGTAGGAAGTGAAATCTCCTAGACATTTTGAGCTACAGGTAACAGATTTGGAGTAAGTTCTTACTTCATGATTGCCTTTTATAGAACCAAAAGCAATGGGTTCTTTTTCAAAATAGAAATGAAAATGATGCTCAACTCCAAGAACAAATATTTCAAATTATAATTAAGAAAAAACAACACATTTTATAAGCAATGACTTTTATTTGGACTTGATTCTAACAAAGATCTTACTTATGTGGCACAGTAAGGTCATAGGCTTTTTTAATTTCCTCTTCAGTGTTTCCCTCTCTAGCAATGACAAGGTAACTCCCATTACCATGGTCTTTTGATGTGGAAACAATGTTGCCAAAACGCGATATGAATGTCACATGTTGTACAGGGAGGTAATCCACATGTTCGCCCAGGAGGTCAGCAGTGTATGCATCCAATATAACAACGTCATCTAGAAAGTACGGCAGTCATAAAACAAGAGGCAAGGAGTTTAAGAAAACAAAATGGTGTTGGACACACATTACCTGTTATCTTTTCAAAAGCCTCTAACGCAAGACTGAGCATGGGCGGATCACTCGTGTCTTCCTCTTCATACTGGCGATCAATGTCATTCCCTAGACAAAAATAATAATT